GGTCCATCCGAAAAGGAAAAAAAAAAAGGGGGAAGTGGGCGTGGGGGACACGGTCGGCGACGCGCTATCGCTGCGTGCCTGCGCTAACGCTGCGCTATGCGTCGCGTTGCCACAGCACCGTGATACCGCGGTCGAAGGGGTGTCGGCCGAAACGCTCTCCAGACTGTGTCCGCGCGAGACAAAGCGACGCTCTGTAACCACGTCCTATCTTCATCGCCTAGTCCGCCCTGCTAGGTCTTGGGCTATGGCTGACAGCCCGAGAAAAAGTGCCATAGCCCACCTCCCTCTTGAGTGGGGGAGGGGGCGCCTTTGTGCCCTGGAGCTATGGTATCCTAGTAGCCCTGACCTCAACCTCAACCTACATGAACCTACCCAACTATCTTGCCATGTAACCCTTATGTCACTTTTCACTTCGTTCGGACATCTACATCGGAGAGACTGATCCCGACTGCCCAGGCAGGTCGGGTTTAATTGCACGAATGAAGGCAGCAGCGCCAGCGGAAGCAGTGGGAGAGCTTTTTATGGCGGTGGGAGTGCTGTCGACAATACCGAGACGGAAAAAATCGGTGGTGCTCTGTTCCTTTCATATTTGTAGGGCGTGATAATTGAATTTGTGATGTGTATTTGATCCTGTTTTTATGACAGATGCATTGATATCTTGCATGTTGTAACGGGGACTTCCTTTGTTCTCTTCTTGCATATAGGGATATCGTACGATAATCCATTTCCTCTGCTCCCTGTTGGGAAGGAGAAAACCGGGTTCACATTTTGGAGTGCTCTGTTTTCCTTTTAATTGAAGGATGGGATATTTGAATTTGTGTTTTGTATTTGATCCTGTTTGTAGGATAGATGCATTGATTTCTTGATGGGGACTTCTTCTGCTCTCTTTTTGAATGTAGTGACATCGTACGATATTATAGGATAGATCTACAGATTACAAGTCTGCTCAAGTGGGTCTTCCCTTGCTCTTTCTCGTATATAGTGGATTTGCGTTAATAACCCCTTTTACCTGTAGATGTTAATCTTGGGCATGCCTCCTTTCTCGTATATAGTGGCCTTGCGACTAATCGCCGTAGATGCTAGTCTTGGATGTGCCACGTTTTAGAATATTTGAGTATAGTTGGAATGGACTCCACTATTTTCCTCATTTTAGGTACCCATTGCTTTCTTATCCTTTCGAAACGGGAACACGGTTGGAATCAGAATCGCTGTTGTCAATCCTGACTGCCCAGGCAGTTCGGGTTGAATATCATGAAGGAAGGCAGCAGCTAGTGTGAACACGCTCTGAGTGGAACCTGTTCGGTCATTGATATATAGAGCGCCTCACGGATCAAGCGTGATTACTGATGTGGCTACTCTGGATGGGCAGATCAAGTCCTTGCTGACCCGACAGCCCTGCACAAGGCAAGCGATATTGCTAACGCGGCTGTCCCTTCTGTTGCGGACAAAATGCCATGGCAATCGTTTGCGGATGTGGCTACCAATATGATCTGGCAGATTCTTACGGACGAAACATTTGAATTTGTGCTCTGTATCTGATCTTGTTCATAGGTTAGATGCATTATCTTCCGGCATTTGAAACAGGGACTTCCTTTGCTTTCTTCTTGCATATAGCAGCATCGTACTGTAGTCCGATTAGTCTGCTCCCTATTTGGCTCTATATGTTGGATAGATTTCTCGAATATAGTGGCTGTGCGTAAATTTCCCCTTTTACCGGTAGGCGCTAGTCTTGGATGCACTGCTTCTTAGAACATTTGGGTATAACTGGTACGGTGTCCCCTATCCCTCCTCATTATAGGTACTCAGCTTATAGGTAGGGAGGTCCGCTATTTCTCCTCATTTTAGGTTCTCATCTTATAGGAAGGGAGAGACCGCTGCTGACATGTTCTTCTTTCTGTCTGACTGTATTTGCACAGTTGCTTACGAGCAAGAGTAGGGGGGCAGAATTAGTGTGGATCAGGGTGAAACCCATGGAGACATCAGCAGGGCGCTACCACGAGCAGTGAGAGTGTAACCGGTGGCGGTGGGAACGCTACTGGTTTGGTGGTACGAGAGAGCCGGCGAAGAGCATGTGACGATCTACTTTCTGTTCCGCGCGATTTCCTGCGCTGGGACAACGAGGGGCCTTGAGATGGGAAGGTCGGGCCAATTACGGGAATCGGGATCGGCGGGGAAGTTGCATCGGTGCCCTCGGTTTTTCGTCTTTTTTCAAATCATCTTGCTCTTGTTGGCTGGGTCGGAGCTGGGCGAGCCCCGGGATGGTCGGTTCGATTGATTGGTCGGCCGGATGGTCTGCGCGCCGTGATGCGCGCGATTAATAAATGTTGACGTCGTTTTTTCTTCGTTTCGGTCTTGGGAACTTTGGCGCAGATATTGCGCGGGATTTTGCTCTGTTCTTTTTCGAATTTTGAATTTTCTTTGGCGTTCTTGTTGGGCCGACAGGGCCCTCGGAATTTCGGAACTTCTTGTCGGAATTTTGTTTTAGACGTAGGAATTTAGGAATTTTTGAATTTTTGCTGCGCTTGCGCGCGCCTCTTTTTGCGGCTGCATCGGCACTCTGATTAGCAGGCGCCCTTAATCTTGCATGCGTAGATGTAATTTTGGGCGGGCGCCATTGTAACTGTATCTTTTTCTTGAACTCCATCTTTCCCGCTCTTGCTTTTCCTGTAGTTGTGTTAGACGGCCGCGGCCTGCATGATCGGATCGATGCGTGGAGAGTGGCTACGTCCCCCACGCCGCGGTCCGGCCATGCAGACACTGGCAGTTCCTCTGTAATCCCTTCTTCTAAGTCCTTGTAATTTCGTGTTCTTTGCGCCTGCATGCACGCTATAACTTATAACTTACGGCTGTGCGACTAGTTAGCTCTCTTAACTATTGCCGGAAGCTCGGGGTTGCGCGATCGAGAGGGTCGGCACACGAGCGAAGTAAGAGGTGAGTGAAGTGGGAGTCGGGCGACCCGACGAGCTGGTGCCGAATGCGCGGGGTTGACGCGGGCCACGACGGACTGTGGGCGCGGAGCGAACCTGACGGGCGCAGGAGGACTAAGCGGGGTGACGGCTTCGTGGGTTGATGCGCGACGATGGACTGTCGG